CTACTCCCTCTTCTGTCTTCTCAAGTGATGCCAGAGGGCTGTGCTTAAGAGTATGGGCCCTGGGTATCCATCTGTCCGGGTTAGTCCTGACACTAGCCTGCAACCCTCTAGCTATTAAACAAATAGAAATGACTTCACCTCTTTATGATTCAGTTTCCTTACCTGCAAAATAAGGATAATAGTAGGCCCACTTGATGGTGTTTTGTGAAGAGTTAAGTGAGCTAATACTATAATGCTATCTACTCGTCCTCTTACTGTTTTCGCTAGCTTTGCTCCTGGTTCAGGCACTCTCTACCTAACCCTCAAAATGCTCAGGACCTGGCACATTGTAGGCTCTTAATAAATCCTTGATGTTTGAACTGCCTCACTGGCTCCTTTGCTTCTACTCTCTTCCCCTCTCCATCCATCCTGCACATTCCGGGAAGATGCATTTTTCTAAAGCACATGTCTCTCCCTTCCTCAAAAAAAAGCATCAGTGAATCCCAGTTATGTACTAAAGTCCAAAAGCCTCAGTCTGGCAGCCTGAGTATCTCTGACCTGAGTCTAAGGAGGCTAGTCTCATGGTGAAGAACAGGGACCCTAGGGGAAGATGGCCAAGGCCTGACTCCTGGTTTTTCAGTTTCCCAAGTGTGTGTGGCCCTGAATGAGAAATCTCACCATCCCTATCCTATAAAATGGGGATAAAGATTGCACCTACCTCCTGGTGTCATTGTGAGGATTATAAGACCTAGTACTTAGATGGTGCTGAGCACAATGAGTCCTGACATACGGGAGGTGCCAAGGAAGCCTTTTCTGTGTTCGTTATTAGTAGTTCCCGTTGTTTCCTATAAACCTGGTCTGTTCATTGTCTCCTGGGCAAGCACTGAGGGAATGCTTCTGGAGATCTTTGCTTTGCTATATAGAATCTTCACCAGCCCCCTCATAATCCTACCATCCTTCCAGGCCCCCTCAAGCTGCTCCGCCCTCAGCACTATACTCCAGCCCATGGAGAGCGCTTGTCCCTCTTGAGTTCCAGGGCATTTCTGACTGATACCAGCTGGGAGCTGCCTTGGACTGTCAGGAGAGCCACTCCCAGGAGAAGCGGTCTTCAGCTGTCTTGCAGACTCCCGCTGTGACATCCTGTCTTGCTCTAGGTGCTAGGGTCATAGCTCTAAAGAGCTTCACACTCTAGTGGGGCAGACAGAGGTGGGGACTCGAAATGATACGAAGTGAAGTTCTTACTGGGATGCACAAAAAGCATTACACATTTAAGCACCCTTCACACACACTGCTTAAAAGCTTTTAGTATAGACCATTGCTCTTAAGATAAACCCCAGTGTCTTCCCTGGGCCTGCCACATCCTGCTTGGTCCGATCACTGCTGGCCCGCTCTCCAGACTCCTTTTACAGTGTGTGTACCACACACACCCCCTCCATGTACACACACACACACCTTACATACAGATACATCCACACATTCCACATACATGTACTCATACACATACACACTGCCCCCCACACGCGCACACACGCACACCTTAGCACACTGACCTTCTTTTGATTTGCAAAGGCACAAAAGCTCCTTCCTGCCTCAGGCTCTTTAGATATGTTACTGCTTCTGCCAAGAAAACTCTTCCCTTTGGTCTGGCCATCTCCTACTCATTCTTTAAATCCCAGTTCAGATGTTTCCTAGGGAAAGCCTTCTCTCACGGCAGTCTGTTTCCTTTATCAACCTGTATGTCAATATAAACAAATGTTTGTCTAATGTCTGTATCTCCTGAACATTTAACACCAATTATTGGCTCGTCAGGAAAGTCATGACACATTTTTGTATAGAAAAATACATCATGACTTTCCCAACAACCTAATTAACCCATTACTGTGCGTTTAGCTCTTTGTCCACCCCCACCAACCTTCATGTAAGGAAGGCCGTGTCTGTTTTGCTCACTGCCATAGCCCCAGCACCTAGCACAGCGCCTGAAACACAGTAAGCCTTAGTACATACTTGCTAACGCAATGAACAGAGAGGTAGCTAGGCCAAGAGAGGAGGCAGGGCCATCCTGGGCAGAGAGATTAGTATAGTATGTGCACAGGTGTGGGGAGGAGCGACTACAGCGCGTGTGCCTTGTAGGTAGATATGGCCACGGCATAGGCTTAAGGGCTAGGAGGCTGTGAGCTGGGGCTAGGACTTTGGATCCCTACAGGGAGTTTAGGTGTAGCCGTGGGTAACAGTGAGTGACGTGATCTGGTCTGTGTTTCAGAAAGCCTGTTCTCTTGGCCTTGGAGAGGTCAGAACTGAGAGGGCAGCACTTTGAGCAAGGAACCCAGAGTCGGTGGGATAGGAGGAGCAAGTGAACTGAGGCAGATGGCTGGGAGGGATGAGTACAAGTGCCACTGTAGAAGCTGAGTGAGCAGAGGCTGGGAGTAGGAGTGAGACTTGGACTCTGGTTCTGCCCAGGACCCCTTGCTGCCCACCTCGTGGAGAGCAACACTCCCTGTAGTGGGGTGGGTGCTCTCTCCCTTGGTTAGGGTGGGGATGAGGGATATCTCTTACCCTTGGTCTCCCCAGAGGTGGTCCCTGATGAGACAGGAGTTCAGCCCCAAGAGCACCAGAGATCAGCCCTCCACATGGACATCGCCTCCACCTTCTCTCTTTCTGTGCTCCCACCCCCCAAGTTTGGCCTCCAGTTCTGGCCAGGCCCCCAGGCAGCACTGGAGCCTCAGAGTCCCTGGCCTTGACCCAGAGTCCCAGCCTGCTCCAGACTCTTCTAAGGCGGATGCTATCCACACAAGCCTTGGGACCCTCTCCTGAGGAGGCAGAGGACTGGCTGGGATGATCTTTGACTCGAGTTCTAGTTGGGATGGCTGTAAGGGGACACCTCAGGCAGAGCTAGGCAGGCAAACCGCAGGCTCAGGCTTTCTGGGAGCCAGAAGAGGGAGAGCCTGTACTATGTAACCCTTTCAGCACCACACCCAGGCAGGAGGCTGTCCTTCCGGCAGCCCCTACCGGGGTTTATGGGATGTGTATTGGGTAGGGGGTGTCAGTGTCTGCGTTCACCTCCATGCGCCTTGAAGAGAGGAGCCAGCTGGTGCTGGCAGTCAGTGCTGTCCGAGGGGCAGTCTGTGTGAGGCAGGGAGTGCTACAAGCCACCTGGGGCACCCAGGGTCCCAGCAGGCTGCAGCCACCCAGGCTAGGAGGGATCCTGGGCCACGGACCCTGACAGCCAGGCACAAGCGGTGGTTGCATTAAAGGTATCCCCAGGTGATGGTACCCCTTAGCGTCAAGGCCAGACCTGCGGGGAAGCGGAGGCACAGGCAAACCGTCCCACGACTGTGAGAGACCAGCAAGCGTGCTTCCTTCCTCGCTAGACTTGTCAGTGGGCTTCGTTCTGGTCCCTTCCTGGGCCCTTCTCTGGCTGTATCCCCACCCCCATGCTGTCCTTAGACTGGCCCTCGCTGGGGGATCTCTACTCCCCCTCCCCAACATGTTCAGGCCCCCAGGCCAGCTGGAGCCCGCTCTCCAGCGAAGAGGTCTGCGGCGCTCTGAGCGCCGGTGTTGCCCATCTCGGTGGGCCTGGGAGCGGGCCCGAGCCCAGACCGGTCGCCCGGAGCCCCCCGCGGCCTGAGCCTGTGCGGAGGGGGGGCCGAGGGCGGCGGGCGCGGGAGGGGAAGAGTTAAGGTTCGCTGCTCCCCTCCCCCGGAGGGTGTGACCGCCTATAAGAAAGGCGCCGCGCTCGGGCACTGGGGCTGCAGGCGGCGGGGGCGCAGCGCGCAGCGGAGAGCCGAGGCCGTCCCACCGCCTGGGACCCCGGGCAGAATGTCCGAGTCCAGGAGGAGGGGCCGCGGCCGCGGCAAGAAGCCCCGAGAGGGGAGGAAGCGGGAGCGGGAGCGGGAGCCCGACCCTGGGGAGAAAGGTAGGGCACCGCGGCGCGCCCAGAAACCCCGTTTCGTTGGGAGAAACCTGCCGCCCGCTCGCCCGCCCCCAGCGCCGCGAGTCTGGGGTGTGTCTCGGGCAGTGTGAGCCGCGGCCG